AAAGAATCCACCTGCAATGCAGGAGACCCAGGTTGAATCCCTGGGCACGATGATCCCCTGGAGGAGGGCATGGCAACCCACTCCAGTATTCTTGCCAGGGAAATCCTGCCAGAGGAGCCTGGTGGGCTACAGTCCATGGGGTTGCAAGAGTGGAACATGACTTAGCGACTAAACCACACCACCACTAAAGTACATCATCCTGCCTGTTTTATGCATTTCAGTTCATTTCAATTCAGTCACTCAGTCATATCTGACTCTTGCAACCCCATGGACTGTAGCTCACCAGTCTTCCCTGTCCATCACCAGCTCCCGGAGCTTGCCCAAACTCATGTCCATCGAGTCAGTGATGCCTTCCAACCATCTCATCCTCTGTCGTCCCCTTCTCCTCCACCTTCAATCTTTCTTAGCATCAGGGTCTTTTCAAAATGAGTCAGTTCTTCTTATCAGGTGGCCAAAGTACTGGAGCTTCAGCTTTAGCATCAGTCCTGCCAATGAATATTCAGGACTGATTTCCTTTAGGATGGACTGTTTGATCTCTTTGCTGTCCAAGAGACTCTCAAAAGTCTATGTGTTTATCACTCCCAAATTTGAAGTAAGACCTGAAATCTCTGCTTACCAAGTTTTTGAGAACTTACACATTCATAGGAAAGGTTAGTACGAAACCAGATAGAGATGAGATGCAAAAACAATGTAATAACTAGCCCAAAGGCAATAGAATGCAAGTTAATACATTTAAGTTAAGCTTGGAGGGGGAAAAACAAAAACTTGGAGGAGGATGGGAATCAGCTTTGGGACCACAGATAAGAAAGATCTGCCTGACTGAATGGAGAGTTTACATAAAAAGACCTTTGGAATCAGCAAATAGGTGACCCACAAGCTAAATAGGACTTGCAGACCACATTTTTAAATGCTGGAAGAGCCCTAACAATTTGAAGTTCATTAACGTTTGATTGGTCCAGCATTCCACGGTTTACCAAAGTTGATTCCCCTCTTTGCTACACCCTGCAGCTTCTCACATTTACCTGCCTGGCCACCCAAGCATTCTCATTTGCAACTGTTGTTATGGTTACCTAAATAGGATTTTGTGATCTCAGATCTGTTAGAAGGATAGAATAGAAGGATAATGTTAAGAACAAGGGAGATTGTGATTTGACCAGGCTTTGCCCTGCTCTGGCTTTTGAAAGGGACATTTACCAATGTCCAGGGAGTGATCCTATGGGTTTGATGCCAAACCATATCCCAAGGAGGGTTGGAAAGAAAAGTAGACTTACGGGACTCCTAAATCAGTGCACTTCTCTCTACCTCCATTATCCCTATTTAGTTAAACCACTCCAGGAACTTACCTGGCAGTCTAGTGGTTCGGACTCCACGCTTCCAAGGCAGGGGATGCAGGTTCAACCCCTGGGTGGGGAACTGTCGATCCCACATGCTGCACCTCACGGCCAAAAATTTTGTTAAAAAGCCATTCCTGTCTCAGACTTGAGCTACTGCAACAAGCTAACTTCCCAGTCTAGTTTCTCCAGCTGTCTACTCACCACCCCTTGACACTGAGTTCATTTCAGTGTGATACTTCCTAAATATTCCCGGAATCTCTGCACATCTGTCTCACTCTCTGCCTCACCACCAGCATCTCCATCCTGGATCAATTGCCTCTTCAGCCATCATATTTTTTTTCCAGTGCGCATTGCAAGTGGCACACAGCAATCTTTTCTTTCTCTTTCTTCTTCTTCTTCTTTTTTTCCTTTAACTTTCTGGCCATGCCACATAGCGGACAGAATCTCAGTTCCCCAACAAGCGATCAAACCCGCATCTTTGCCTTGAAAGTTCCAAGTCTTAACCACTGTGGACGGCCAGGGAAGCCCCAGCAATCTTTTTAAGAACACAAACATAACGTTGCCTTCCTTTGTCACCTGTATTCCCACCACCGTGGTCTCCTTCCTGCCCTCTAATCTGACCTAGTGCCCACCCACCTCAGAACTTTTGCTCTGGTTCTTTCTCATCTTTGGAATACTTTGCTTTAGAACACAGATCTGACCACAGTTTATGTCCTTTCCAATGTGAAATGTCTCACCTCGACTATCACTTCCTTGAGAGGTCTTTTTTGATCGCCCTGGTAGAAACACTCACTTGCTACAGTGTTTTCCTAGTTTTTTCCTAGCATTCCTTATCGGTGTCTGAACGCTGTGTCAGCTTACTAACAAGGATGGAATCTGTGCTCTCCTCTAGAGTGTAAATCTTAGACAGGGGTTCCAGTTGTTTTGTTCAACGCTGGATTCTCATTGCACAGAATAAATACATATTGACTAGCTCCTGTAACCCAGCAGGACCCTCTGAGGCCTTCTTCCCAGAATAGTCCCCAAGCCACATCCTCCACCTGCCTTTTGTCTGTAGAAAAGCTTTAGTCAAAGAGTAAGTTTAATCACAGAAGTGAGAAAAATGCTGAAAGAAAGGAAACCAGTCAAGCCAGACAAAATAATACTTTAGCCATTAAACAGTCAGGGACCTTCATTTCTCCCCCAAGGACTATCGATAATATTCTCAGCTTAATCTTTTGAACTGTTTTGCAGGTATGGAAATCTCCACCAAGTGGAAGAAGGTAATTGTATGCTGCCCCCAAGCATGTAGACCCCAGACCGGTTGGAACCAGAAGGTTGATAATGCTGACTCCCAGTTACCTCACCACCCACCGTTCACAGGAATGTCCCGGAGCCAATCATGCCCTGTTGCTTTACCATTGTAAGACCCCTTTCTACCCACTCCAGGGTGGGACAGTCTTATGGGTACCAGCTTGCTGTGGCCTCCTTTGCTGGGCAAAGCAATAGAGAGCCCTTCTCTCCCAGCTCACCCAAAATTCTGTCTGTGAGATTCAATTCAGCATTGGTACACAGAGTCTGGGTTTCAGCATCACTCCTCAAAAAGTGTCATTAAATTCATAGAGACAGTGCAGTCATCTCTTGGACTGGATGTAGCAATAACATTTTTTTCATTGTTGAGAGCTGTTGAATTCAGTCATTATCCCAAGAACTAAAAAGAGTTGGTTCTGAATTCAGTTCAGAAATCAGAAGTTTTGAAATTTACCTCCAAACAAAACAGAATTCTCATTTGGCTTTATTTTTGCTCTTCAGTTACCTAATGTACAGGTTGGATGAATAAAGCATACATGGCTACAGGCTTTCTACTTAACTTCTGGGCTTGCATTAAAATACTGTTCACCCTCATACCCTTCTCCTTAACCCTTCCTATTTCTTTTCCACTCTTATGTACTGCAGATTTTTCTCACTATTGTACAAAGAAGTTGGGATATATATTTTCACAGTAATTCATTTTTGGAATTTTGTCACCTTACGTAGTAACTTCTTCCAAGATATTTTTTTCCAATTAAGAACAATTCATAGAGACAGAAAAGTTATTAGGGGTTATTGTTTAATGGGTTTTCAATTTCAATTTTGCAAGATGAAGTTCTGAAGATGCTGGTGATGATGGTTGCCCAACAATATGAACATACTTAAAAATGGTAAATTTTATATAATATATTGGAGAAGGAAATGGCAACCCACTCCAGAATTCTTGTGTGGAGAATCCTGTGAACAGAGGAGCCTGGTGGGCTGCTGTCCATGGGGTCACACAGAGTTGGACACAACTGAAGCAACTTAGCATGCATGCATGCATTGGAGAAGGAAATGGCAACCCACTCCAGTGTTCTTACCTGGAGAATCCCAGGGATGGAGGAGCCTGGTGGGCTGCCGTCTATGGGGTCGCTCAAAATTGGACACAACTGAAGTGACTTAGCAGAAGCAGCATATAATATATATTTTAACACACTTTAAAATTTTTTAATTTGTCTTTAATTTTAATGATTAAAAAACCCTCATAACTTTCTATTATTCCAAAGATCCAAAATAATGGTACAACTTTCAGTTGTTCTGTAGGATTCAGCCGGCTTGGCCCTGCCTATCTCTCCAGCTTATCACATACATTGCCTCTTCAATGCAGCCACCGTGACTATGTTTTCAAAGACATCAGACTCCTTCCACCTCAGGGCTCTGGTGCCTGCTGATTAATCTGCCAGGAGCAGACAAATCCACATGCAAGTAACCCTTTTTTATTTTGTTGAGCTCTCTGGCCCAATGACCTCATCAGGCAGAACTGCTGCAACAAAATCTGCATTTTAACAAGATCCCCAGGTAATTTGTGTACACATGAAAGTTTGAGAGTCCCGCTCCAGATGACTGATGAGTACAAACACAGAAAATAATAATCACTATATCCCCCAACACTTTTCTGGAGTTTTCCTTCTTTGCTTCTAGTTAGTTCAGACTGAAAAACTCAAAGCGCCAGAAAGGGATGGGAATAAACCCTAGTGTCTGCTGCCACCTTGTGGTGAGAAGTTCCAACCCAGCAAGAATTTGCTCTCCTCCAGGAAATAAACCAAATGTCAAAAGGGAGGGGTAGGCCCAACTTTCTCAGCCATGTGTTTTGAGAGATCACTACAAAATAGCCCAAGGGGTGTACTGTGAAAAAGCCAAATAAAAACTGGACGGAGAGCATTCATCAGTTCCACATGAAAGATCTAACAAAAGCTGGGGTCACTGGAATTAGTGGTGGTGGTCTCGGTTCTTCCCTCTTTGGAATGCAGACGTGCACATTTGAATGTGATAATCAGTTGGTGTGGATTACTTTATTACCAACCCAAATGGCAGTGGTTAGACGAGCAGGTCACCTATTCACATCTGCCTTGCCCTGGAGTCTGCAACATGACTGGGAATTTCCCACTGCTCTGTCAATTGCATCACTGATGACCTCTGTAAAGTGGTAAACAGGGCCAGTCCCACAAATGATGTGTGTAACACCTGGAAGGGAATAAGAAAGCAATTCCAAAAATTTTCCTACGTACTTTACTCCCAAACAGCCCTGGAGTTAAAAGCGTCTCAGTCACTGGATGATTTTATTTTGTAGTTTGTGAGCCTAAGAGCTAAAGAAATTAACAACGACTACTGCAGGTGAGGTTGACAGCAATGGACCACCCTCACCTGTATACTCCAGAGCGCTTTAAGGTTGCTTACGAAAGAGCTGACCAGTACCGAAGATTTCAGCGGCCCAGAAAGAGAAGTGGCTCCTTCCAAAGGAAAGGGATTGAAAGGTAGGAAACTGGGATTCATTTTCTTCTCTCTTGAGTGAGATGCTTTGGATTTTGCGTTAAACAATATTCACTGTGCTAATTAGAAAAAGTAGCTTGTTTTTAAGCACTGCATTTAGAAATGAAGGTTCCGTGTGGATTAGAGGGAGCAGAGACAGCATATATAGACAGCATATATGCATTGGATCAGGGAATCTAGTGCCACGATGGAAGCCTCATTTTGTGATCAGAAAAGTCTTATTGTAATGGGAAAACCTTTCCTTTCTACCTGAACTTGAGATTTATTGTCACATATGATATTAAAATTTGTAGATACTAAGTTGATATTTCAGTCTCACAGTTTTAGACAGCAAATACTATTATTTTGAAAAACCAATAGTGCATTTTTCAAAATAAGTCCATGATCAGTGCTCTTTCAATTCCCCTTTCCAGCACTTTGGGCTGTTGTAATGTGTACTAATTATATTTTACCCATGTACACGCTCTTTAATGTAACCTAAAAACTGTCTTATACCTCATATTTCTTGCCAGTGGCAAAACCATGAAGACAAGCATGGAATACGCCAAATGTAATACATTTTAATTTGGAAAGGCAGTGAGCTGATTATTTTCCAATTTGGAGAGTATTCTTCCTTACCAGATTCATGCACAATAGCTCAGATAGGTAGAAAAGACCAGACTTCTGAACTTCCATGGGCAAAATGAAATTTTGCAGAGATTTCCACTTCCAATAAAAAATAGGGGTTAAAAAGAGAGTCAACACAACCAAATAAATTCACAACCAACCAAGATACTTAAAAGGTTAGGAAAGAAAAGATTCTTTTCATAACAGCAATGGTAGCAGTTCTATTCCTAGGCTTTGTAGCAAAATCATCTTATTAATTATGTTATAAATAGATTGGGAATGAGGGTGGGGGAATGGGACTAGGAGATGAATCTTGGAGATTCAGAAACTGCTTAGAGCTGGGCTTTTTACTTGATGGGGGTTGCATGGATGACCTTGGGGGTTCCTGAGCCTCCTACATTGTACTCCCATGTGTGTTTGTATTTATGGTAGTAGAAACTGATGGTTTTATTAGAAGTTCTCTTAGGGGTCCATGGGAGATTAGTTCTAGCCCATAAATGATTTTTTTTTTCATAAATGATTTTTTATCTCGAAATAGAAGACTAATTTTTAAAAATCCCTGGGATTTTATGGATATTGCTTTGGATGAAACTAACATCAACGTAGTTAATCAAGGAAGAATATTAGGTAAATGAGGGTATCATGGAACAGGTGATACTCACTTAGCACAGAAGCTAACAGAATAGACTTTGGGGTCTGATTATCTGGGCATAAATTATTTAAGCTTTCCAAGTTTTAATTTCCTCATTTGTAAAATGGAGATGCTAGTAGGAGGATTAAAATATGTAATACATATGAAAGAACTTAGATGAGTGTTTAGCACATAAAAGTCTACTAAGAAGTATTACCTATTTTATTACTGAAATGATGAAGATATTATTTATTTTGAATTTTGGAAATATGCATTTATAATTACTCTCTCTAAATCAGTATTCTGCATAAAATGCAGCATTTATAGGGCCTTGAAGAATATGTTTTTTTATTAACTACCCTAGCAGACAGTCTCATGTCTCATCACATTTGGAACCACATTTTGAAGTCCAGCAAAAAAATATCTCAAACCGTGATTGAAATGAGATCACCAATTTGCCAATATGAGGTAATATATTCTAACAGTCACAAACCAAGATTAAAATCTGCATTCTATGCTCCATCAATTAAATTAATCTATCTGTGTCTCAGCTTACTCATTAGTAAACTGAAGATAATAATATAAACTACCAGCCCTGAGGATTAAATGAGATAGTGGCCAGAATGCAATTCAGCAACAAAATATCAAGTAGTTGCTTTGGATTTGATGCTTGGTCTTTAGTTTTCTTTTTTTGAACTGTATAATTTGTTCACAGTTGCAGCTGATTTTCATGATTCCAATGTTTCATTTTTAACTTTTCAATTTCCTTGACACAAATTATTTTTCCTTTGTTCAGATGGCATAGAGCTGTGTCTACCAACTTAGTAAAACAAAATGTATTGGTCCCTAAAGAGGAGTCATCCAGTGATAGTGACATGGAATTTCACAAGAGCCAGCAAAATCAGAAGAAAAATTTGGTGAAGAAAGGGAAGACTGTTTTGGGGAGGATGCTGTCACACATGTACAGAAGCAAGCCAGCAAGTGTCAACGAAGAGGGTGCGCCTAACCACAAGGAAACCCTCCTTCCAAATACACAGAGCCTTCTTCCTGGAATTGTCAAGGAGCTTCCATCACCCAAGTTATTTACCAAACCAAGAATGAGAAAGCTCTCCCAGAATGGTAATCCAAGTCAACATATGGTCCAGTGTCAAGGCCAAGAGAGAAATTGAAATAGGACAGCTTTTGTTGTTACCCACAGAATAGCATTTCTGGGGAGCTTGTCTGAAATGCAGAAGTTAAGGCCCCGCCCAGGGCTACTGAGTTGGAATCTGCCTTTTAGAAAGATCCCCAGGTGACATGTGTGTGTGTACACATCTTCAAAAGCTCTGAATTAGATTACATTTGAGGTCACTCCCAGTCCAATTAGTCAGTGGTCTCATCAGTCTAAAACTACTTTTCATTTAAATATTAGATGTGTACACAGGTGTATATATATATGTATATGCATATATACATACACGTATATTAGAAAATCAAACCAAAGTGGGATTTTCTGGTTTTATTTCTGGAGAAAGAAATGAGGCAGATTTTCAAATGGCTGCTTCCAACAGACGAAGTTGTGGTGAGAATTCCATTTTAAAAATGTGTGATTGGTAAGTCGTAAAGGAAATTTTTTTTTATTATATCTACTTCCCACATACTTTGTGAAGAATTGGCGTCTGAACTGTTGACAATTTCTTTTGTGACATGGTAATGATGTTTAGTGGGGGAGGGGTCATGTGAGTGATGACTACTATTTGCATTCTCCTTTTTAAAATTGATAGACTTTTTTGTAGAGCAGTTTTAGGTAAACTGGAAAAATTGAGTAGAAAATACAGAAATTTCCTCTATACCCTCCTCTCCTTAACCCACAGTTTCCTCTATTATGAACTTCTTTCCTTAGTACCATACACTTGTTAGTTGATGAGCCCATATGAACATATTATTATTAACACTCGTCCACAGTTTACGCTGGACTTCCCTGGTGGCTAGGTTGGTAAAGAATCCGCCTGTGATGCAGGAGACCCAGGTTAGATCCCTAACTTGGAGAAGAAATGGCAATCCACTCCCACTATTCTTGCCTGGATAATCCCATGGACAGAGGAGTCTGGCAGGCTACAGTCCATGGTGTCAAAAGAGTTGGACACAACTTAGCGAGTAAACAACCACCCTAGTTTTACATTAGGGTTACTGTTTGCCCCACACAGTTCCGTGGGTTTGAAAAACTCGCCATGTAATTTCTCTCTCATTACAATACCATACAGAAGAGCTTCAGTGCCATAAACACCCTTTGTATATTTCTAGTGCCCTTTACAGTACAGCATTCAGAAACATATAGAATACTTATGTATATGTAGGTGATTCACATGCATCTTCAAATTTCACATCATGATAAGGCTTGGTAGATACTTTTTCCAGAAAAAACAAAAACTGATGGCCTCCAGCTGACACATTGCCCTTTCAAACAAACTCTCTCTTCTGGAAAAACATAGCTAATACAAGCATCCAAGCATCTAGCAATTACCTGATATAGATTGACCTGCCTGTTTCTGTTGAAAACAGCAAAGAGGACACACTTCTCTACTGACGGGGCTGGAGTTGAAGAGGCCAGCAGAAAGCAGAGGACCAGAACCTTCTACCACATCCCATGTATTTGCTTATTTTTATCATAGCTGAAATAACAAATCTCTGCACTAAGATTTCTCCAAGAAACTTGCCCATCTTTCAGGCTGCAGCTCAAACATTCTGATTCTCAACTGTGGCTGAAAGACAGTTGCTCATCCCTGTTGATCCTCATTAGGCTATAAAACAAATATGTAGTAAATACTTATTATGTGGCAGCCATGCTGAAAGGGATAGAGCAGCAGATAGTACCGGCATGGTCTCTACCCTCCTTGAGTTAGAGAGGGCATGGAGGGGCATTTCAATGTCATGCAGATATTTACCTCTGATGCAAAGAAGCAGCACAGGGTAGGGTGGGTACACGTCATGGATGCTGGCTTTAGAGGAGGGGGCTCGAGAAAGCCTCCCTAAGGAATGGACAACTCAGATGAGATCTGAAGAACTAGAAAAGGAAAAAGTGGTGAGAACAGTTTTCCAGAGGGTAGAGCATGTTCAAGTCCCAACGTCAAGAGAGCACTGGGCATAATTAAGGCATGAAGGTAATCCAGCCAGCGAGAGTCTGCTGAATAAGGTGATAAGTGTGTTTGTAAACCATGTTAAGAAATTTTAACCTTTCCTTAGGGTGATAAGATATTTTCAAGCTGGGGATTTATATGATTTGAAGGGCACTTTTTAAAGGTAGCTCAGACCGCAGGGTAGAGACTGGATTGGAGGAGGGTAGGATCTGATGCAGGAGGAATGATAAACAGGCTCTTGCATTCATCCAAGGCAACGGATAATATTAGCTGGGGCTGGTCATGGGCATTGGGGGTGGTGAGGTGGAAGAGAATGTTCACTGTCAGGAGTTGCAAGATTTAGGCAAGAGCTGACAGTGGAGGGTGGGGGAAAAAGAAGCGTCCCTGGGTTGAGCATCCGCTTTGAAGGTAGAGCCACCAGCCCCTGAGCTGAGGAGCCGCGGTTCCTCAATGCAGTCATCAAGTGACCCGAAGCAGATGAAATTGATCTTAGGTGCTGCACACGGCATGAAAACTCCGAGACAGACCACGCTGCACACTCTGCTTTTCCCAGTGCCTTTTTGACCCCTTTCACTACATCAAGGAAAAAGTCTCATCTCCTTCCCTTTTTCTATCTTAATAAAAAAGAGAGTAACCTCAAGTTTACTGCCTTCTGTTGGCAATAACATGATTTTGGTTTTACCATAGTAGTCTCAGTGTCTATATTTTTGATACTGGTTTTTGATTTATGATAGTGTTTTAAGTTTCCTTTATAAGTATGTTTATTGTGTCAAAAACTTAATTTTTTTTTTTTATGAGGATGCTTTTTTCCCTTATCTTTTGGCTGTGCCACATTGCCTGTGGGATCTTAGATCCCTGACCAGGGATAGAACCCGAACCACCACCTGCATTGGCAGCGAAGGCTCCTAACACTGGACCACCAGAGAAGTCCCAAGAATTGAACTGATAGAGGAAAATATTAAGGACTCTAGGACTCACAGGGCTCCTGGAATGTGGGAAACACTATGAAGATGGTATGTGAATGACTGAGCCTTGAGCCACTTTGCTGCAGAGTACTCTTAAACTTGTCTTCGTCAACAGCAAATAGTCATTGGATTGTCTTGTATGTTAGAGGGTGCTTTTCCTAATTCCACAAGAGTTACAGGGAAGAACAACAGAGGGCAAAAGTGAAGTCTCAAAGACGGTTATCAACCACCTTGTCAAGATGGGTTGGTGACTGTGGAGGTCATGACCAGAAGAAAAGGCCAAGTGTTCAAGAGAAAGTGTGAGATTCAACAAAGCAAGTCCATTTTCAATTTTAACCCCAAAGAAAAAAAGCCACTGAAATCACATGTGATGCTTGCTTTTCAGGAGACTTTCTAATAGCAAGCATATGTTTATTATTGTGATCCTTCAAGATTGTCTGTTTTTCCCCCCCCTCACTCCCTCTAAGCAACTATACAACTTGACATTGTTGAAGCAGAGACAGAGGCAATAACCCAAGGAAATACACTCCTCAAAGCCAGGAGAACCACCAAGCGCTTATCTCTGGCATCACTTCCTCCAGGAATACAAAAGGTAAAATGTAGAAACAAACTTGCATCTAAAGACTTACACAGAAGTCAATGTTCAGGGCTGTTGTGAAAACCAAGTTCTCTCCCATTTAAAGCTGCCCTTTGTGTCTCCACTCCTAGAATTCAGGGCACAACGAGTGGACTTGCCAGGTCTGATTCCTCTACTTCAGAGCCCGAGGGGTTCAGCTTCTGCTATAATCTGGGCAACAGTAGGGTTTGCCGCTTTATATTGACTTGGTCAGCTGTTCAAATATCAAGCTGGTATATTAGCATCTGGCATATCATGCATGCTCTGTGGAGAGATATTCTCCAGACCAACCCCACAGAATTTCTGCAAGGATGCAAACATTTGTCCAAAACAGTAGCCATTAGCATGTGTACTTTTAAGCCTTTGCATATGGCCAGTTGTTCAGTCCCTCAGTCATGTCCGATTCTTTACAAACCTACAGACTGCAGCATGCCAGGCTCCTCTATCCTTCACTGTCTCTGGGAGATTGCTCAAATTTATGTCAATTGAGTCCACGATGCTACATAACCATCTCATCCTCTGTCACCCCCTTCTCCTTTTGCCTTCAGTCTTTCCCAGCTGATGCGGCGGTACAACTGAGGAAATTGAATTTTAAATTTCATTTCATTATAATTGAAATTAACATATAAATAGAATGTGTGTATATTATAGATGGTGCAGCACTTGATGATCCAGGACACTCCAACCCAAAGCTTGTACTTATCTGTACTTAGATCAAGTTTGTGCCTAAATTGCCCATGCTATTTTTCAATAGAATCTGAAGTATTTTTTTATACATAATAAGCATTTATTAAAGCTGACTATGTTCCAAACCCTCTTCTAAGTGCTTTAAAAATATCAACTCAGATATTCCTTACAACAGCCCTATAAAGTAGATAGCAATCAGTCAGTTCAGTCAGTTCAGTCGCTCAGTCGTGTCTGACTCTTTGCAACCCCATGAATCGCAGCACTCCAGGCCTCCCTGTCCATCACAAACTTCCAGAGTGTACTCAAACTCATGCCCATCGAGTTAGTGATGCCATCCAGCCATCTCATCCTCTGTTGTCCCCTTCTTCTCCTGCCCCCAATCCCTCCCAGCATCAGGGTCTTTTCCAATGAGCCAACTCTTCGCATGAGGTGGCCGAAGTATTGGAGTTTCAGCTTCAGCATCAGTCCTTCCAATGAACACCCAGGACTGATCTCCTTCAGGATGGACTGGTTTGATCTCCTTGCAGTCCAAGGGACTCTCAAGAGTCTCCTCCAACACCACAGTTCAAAAGCATCAACTTTTCGGCACTCAGCTTTCTTCACAGTCCAACTCTCACATCCATACCTGGCCACTGGAAAAACCATAGCCTTGACCAGACGGACCTTTGTTGGCAAAGTAATGTCTTGGCTTTTTAATATGCTATCAAGGTTGGTCATAACTTTCCTTCCAAGGAGTAACCGTCTTTTAATTTCATGGCTACAGTCACCATTGGCAGTGATTTTGGAGTCCCCAAAAAATAAAGTCTGACACTGTTTCCACTGTCTCCCCATCTATTTCCCATGAGGTGATGGGACCAGATGCCATGATCTTAGTTTTCTGAATGTTGAGCTTTAAGCCAACTTTTTCACTCTCCTCTTTCACTTTCATCAAGAGGTTTTTTAGTTCCTCTTCACTTTGTGCCATAAGGGTGGTGTCATCTGCATATCTGAGGTTATTGATATTTCTCCTGGCAATCTTGATTCCAGCTTGTGCTTCTTCTAGACTAGCATTTCTCATGACGTACTCTTCATGTAAGTTAAATAAGCAGGGTGACAATATACAGCCTTGATGTACTCCTTTTCCTATTTGGAACCAGTCTGTTGTTCCGTATCCAGTTCTAACTGTTGCTTCCTGACCTGTAAACAGGTTTCTCAAGAGGCAGGTCAGGTGGTCTGGTATTCCCATCTCCTTCACAATTTTCCACAGTTTATTGTGATCCACATAGTCGAAGGCTTTGGCGTAGTCAATAAAGCAGAAATAGATGTTTTTCTGGAACTCTCTTGCTTTTTTGATGACCCAGCGGATATTGGCAATTTGATCTCTGGTTCCTCTGCCTTTTCTAAAACCAGCTTGAACATCTGGAAGTTCTTGGTTCATGTATTGCTGAAGTCTGGCTTGGAGAATTTTGAGCATTACTTGACTAGCGTGTGAAATGAGTGCAATTGTGCGGTAGTTTGAGCATTCTTTGGGATTGCCTTTCTTAGGTATTGGAATGAAAACTGACTTTTTCCAGTCCTGTGGCCACTGCTGAGTTTTCCAAATTTGCTGGCATATTGAGTGCAGCACTTTCACAGCATCATCTTTCAGGATTTGAAATAGCTCAACTGGAATTCCATCACCTCCACTAGCTTTGTTCGTAGTGATGCTTTCTAAGGATCACTTGACTTCACATTCCAAGATGTCTGGCTCTAGGTGATAGCTCTCAGAATGTTCTCATATGCTCTCATATGTTCTCATATATTTGAATCAGTTGTCCACGTTTCGAAATTAGAATCGTTCAAACAAAAGTCTGGATTTTCAACTTCCTTTTGAAAAATAAGAGGATTTGGCAACATGGAGCTTGCAGTTCCTCCAGCAACAGCATGAGCTACACAGAGGCCACCCCCTTTGCAGGAGGCCCGTTCTCTCCAGTCCATGCCAGCCCCACCTGGGCCTGTTTTTCAAAACCTGCCTGACCCTTCAAGACATTTGACTTTTTAATAACAGTATTCAACACACAGAAATAACTTAAGTAATTACCAAGTTAAGTGCTTAGTAGAAAAAAAAACCAAACCACTGGGTTTTATGAGAGAGAAACAAGAGGAGTTGTGCCTCGTTAGATTGGGGAAGCTTCTGCAAGTGATGTTGGAGCCGGGGTGAGCTGGCAGGGCTTCTCGGGTGGCTCAGCGGTAAATCTGCCTGGCAACGCAGGAGATGCAAGTTCCATCCCTGGGTTGGGAAGAACCCCTGGAGGAGGAACAGCCACCCACTCCAGTATTTTTGCTGGGGAAGTCCCAAGGACAGAGGAGCCTGGCAGGCTATAGCCCATGGGGTCACAAAAGAGTCAGACACAATTGAGTGACTGAGCATGCACGCAGGAGCCGTCAGGGCAGGGCAGAGGTTCCACAGACTCATTTGTAAACTCGGGCAAAGGGCAAGACCCAAATGTGATTGCACATCCCACTTTGTGTAGGTCTCACAGTAGTCCTCATGGTAATTACTAAACACAAGGGAAAGGAAGAGCGAACCTAGTAAGACTAAAAAGGCCATATTAGCCAGGAGCCATGACCTAGGAATGAGTTTTAATAGCACAGGTACTTGTAACCAGCAAGCCAGGGACCATGGGAAGGGTATCAGGCATGCAATGAAAAGAACCCAGAGCTTTCTTTTTTATGTTTGGAAACATGTCTGCTATGAAAATAAGGAAACCTGCAGAAAAGAGACCAGATTAGCAACTGGATCCAGTGATAATGAGCTTTCTGGGGCACTCGTCTACAACAGCCCCACACTCTGACTGTGCTCAGCGGCTACAGAAGCAATTTCTTCTTCTTCCTCTTACGAATGACCTGTTTTTTTTCCTGACACTGTATATTCTTTCAGAACCAGACAATCTCATTTCTCTGCACCCTATAGATCTCTTCAAAGAGAGCTCTGGGCACAAAGGAGATGCATGGGGCGTGGAGAATAATATGAATACGGCCTCCAATCCAATGTTGTTATGTGGCAAATATTCAATTTAAAAGAGGATGTCGCAAGGGTAAGGGTGTTCACTGAAGCACCGTCACAGAAATAATGGTGGCACTTCTTAATCTGATGTGTTTTTACATTTTTATGATAGGTTCCATATTCATCAAAAAAGAGACCACACTTTCTGATATTTAAAAGAAAGAAGCACAGCATGGAAAACATTCTCCAGAAATCAGATTTGACAGTGGGAAAGCTTCAAATGCAGGTAGTGGACAAAGGTTTTTACTTTGTGTTTCAAAAGCATCAGAGGCCTGGGCTCCACGGAACGCACAGCCCGGCTAGACAGCGTGGCTATGGGACGAAACTAATGATTAGCATGAAGGCATCCTGTTAGTGGGGGGCGTTTGAGAGTGGCTACGGGATCGCTGAGGGCACGGAGGATGATGCTGTGTGCCTCCTAAATGGTAAAGTTAATTCACTTAAAATGAAGCCACACACACACGAGGGTTTGAGAAGAGATGAGATTGTCTTTAGCACTGGGTGGTAAATGCATGTTTTCAAGCTCTGATTGCTATGACTTGAATTAGAATACTACTTTGGGACTTGAAGACATCCACCAGTTCCTGAACTCATCTCTCAGGAAAAACAGCTCTCCCTGGGGTGTGGACAAGGCTTTCTAACACCTGGCTTCGTTTCTTTGTCTTGGACTGTCATAGGTGGATGACCTCATAGAAACAGTGACAGATAAATCCATGAAGTTATTGGCCCAAAGACATGCTGAACTTCAACAGTGTGAGTTTCTAGGGGAGGAAATTCTTCAGTCTTCGAAGCAGTTCCAGAGGATGTCCAAGCGAACCATGAGAAAGTATAAACTGAAAAATGTATGTTTCCCATGCACCTGGTGCTGCTTCTGATTCAGTTTCTGATGGCATAAAAGTTATGTTCATAGGGATTCTTATCTCTTGGTACATAATCCTGAATAAATTCCTCTTAATCAATTGGGGCGGGGGGTGAGTTTAAAAATATTCTGCCCAAAGTCCTTATAAAAATATTCTGCCCAATAGTCCTTTTACAAAAACTGATTTTTAATTTTGAGTCAATATAAGCAAATTTTTGCCTCATAATTTTTACTAATAATGGAAAATAGAAATATTTACCAGGGCATACCAATTCTACAAAGAAATTTCTTCCATGATTTGCCAGATGAAATTAGAGGAAGCACTTAAAGGTATTTTGACACTTTCACTGTGACTACTATTGAGCTAACTTTAAACCTTTGTTTTTAAAGAGAAGAGTTCTTATTAAAATTACAAAAATGTAACATTATTAAGGTATGATTCATGCAAAGTGTCATGTTTCTGAACTAAAATGAATGGATAAGGATGGAACCTAGCAAGTATTAGACATATAATTCAATCCTTAAGAAAAGTACATGTGATTCAGACTTAGTTTAAATTTATAAAAAGATCGTGAAATCCTTTCTTGCAAGACTCTTGAAAATGACTCCTACAGAAGAAAACAATAGAGAGAAAATGTTTTACCAAAACATTTACCAACCATATATCTCAAGTATTAAGGACAGCGATCTAGAAAGTAATACATATTGATTGTCTTTGCATCTTATAATTACTTCTTAGCCCAGTGATTCTTCTTATCACAGAACCTCTCTCACAGTAAGCATACACCACAAACATTCTGTACGTAATTTCACAAGTTCACAGCTCTCCTGAGAGCCTGTTCATGGTCTCCATTTTCAAAAGTGGTAACAATTTCCAGAAACTGACTCATTTTCTCATGTACATCCCAGAAGTGCCACCTTCTCTCTATCTTCCATTTATTTTGTAAGCAAATCAATGTTACCAATTAAAAACTATCTAGAATGCCAATGATCACAAACATATTTGGCTTGAAAACATTTTATTCAACATTTATTTTGGATGTTGTTTCCCACCTTTTAAATACAAAAAAGACATTTCAGTAAAAACAAATATATAATGAAGTCATCTTCCTCTGTGTGAAGAAATATGAATGAACTCTGCATTAACATTTAAAAGCAAAATAGTTCACTGCCAAAACTTTACATTATCTCGAGAGCACAACAGATTCTAAACACACTGAGATCACACTGCTACTTCAACATTCCTGGGAATGGGGAGTGATTCCTTGGTCTATGGTTTAGGATCAGTCTCCATGCTTGCTTCTTGAGCTTCTTCTACCTCTGAGAGCTTTTCATCATCTGCAATTGAGAAAGAAACATAAAACTCTAATCAAATTTGCTTAAACTATATGTTTGATGAATATATGAAAACATTTTTGTCCTTTATAAGTGAATATATTTAAAGCAAAAATGGCAAAATGGCACCCTATGATTGCAACTGACCCACACAAGGGTGTTTGGTTTTTAAAAGTCCTGCTTTGGTTGTTGTTATTAGCTGAATTTCTGGAGGAGGGAATGGCAGCCCACTTCAGTGTTCTTGCCTGGAGGGTTAGATGGACAGGGGAGCCTGGTGGGCTACAGTCTATGGGATCGCAAAGAGTCGGATGTGACTGAGTGACTAAGCACACATTAGTTGAATCAAAATGCAAAATTTATGTGATAGACTTCAATTTAAAAAAGTTCCCTCTGGTCATTAAAATATCTGCATAGGGACTTCCCCGGTGGTCCAGTGGCTGAGACTCTGTGCTCCCAATGCAGGGGATCTGGGTTTGATCCCTGGTTAGGGAACTAGATCCCTCATGATGCAACTAAGAGTTGGCATGCCTCAACTAAGCCCTGATGCAGTCAAATAAATTAATCTTTAAAAAGTAAAATCTACACGAACATTCATTTTACAGTCATGCTACTTACTTTCCAGTGTTTGCTGAAGTTCATGGATGGTACTAAGAAGAACATGAAACTGTTTCCTTCTCAATTCCAGCTGTGTTAGTAAGAAAAAAAATTAATACACAATGATCTATAAACCAATACAGAACACAAAGACTAATACATGTCACATGCAAATACCTTATCTTCAACACTTTCTTTAATATGTGAAAGGTGTTCTAATTCTTTTCCCAGAGCCTCTAATTCTCTGAAAAAAAATGAAACTGTTATATTTTTCTAATGGGGAGAAAATAATTCATAATTAATATCTAACTTTTTAGTTACTAAATAATCATATTTATTATAAAGGATAAGGAGTTCTAACCTCCATTAAGATGAGACTTTTAAAACTAAGGGTGATTCCTTAACTTCTAAATATGTACTAATTTTCATTAAAGTTAAATTATAGATAATTTATTTTAAAGTATAGGAAAACTTGACAATAGGATATCAAACCCTTTTAACATTTTTTCATAATTCAAAACTTTTTTTTTTGGTAAATGTGGTAAATTGCAGAATAATTAAATACCCTTTGAACTTTAACCCCTAGTCCTCTGAACCAGGACTTTTTCCCTCCTCTACTATCCATTCAGGCAATCCTTATATTATACCAATCCTTTTTTATGCATATATTTGTATCTCAATAATATACAGCATCAGTATATAATATTTGGAGGGCTCTAACTTTTATAAATGATTATTATTCTGTATGTATTTCAGAAACTTAGTAATAATTTAAAGTTCATTATATTTATCTTCTGTTTTTCTTTTCACTGATTATTTTTTAAATTGGTGTTTGGAAAGTGTTTATTTCCAAATTCTCTATAACTCCTATTTAGTATTCTATATGAGTAGACCATATTCTATTTATCTGTTTTTGTATTGATACATACATGCATTTATTTTAGAACTATAGGCAGTAAGGTTGGCAGAAGGAAAAATCTAATCAAGAGGTATTAGAATCTGTAATTTTTAAGGTTGACCCCTACTTTTTGAAACATATGATATATTCCCATAGAAATGGAATGTGTAGACTAGTATGTAAACATTTATGTATAAACATTAGTTCTTTTCAAAGTAAAGCTCTAAACTTACTTTAATGTCTCATGCCTGTCTGGATGATGCTGGATCACTTTTGCCAGTGCATCATATTCTGAAAGATACAAAAATACTTGCCAAACTATGATATTTTGAACCTGAATATCAAAACAAAATGTCTAACATCACAAATCTCTCCTAATTATTTTCCTAGTAGATAAAGCAGTGGAAACATTGAAGGATATGTGGAGTATTGCCAGCTTCCTTTCATTCAATTATAACTGCAACAAGTCATGACTTCACAAGTATCTTCCAAACAAGGATTTTAGCTCCTACTCTGTCTTTCCATTTACGTATCCCTGGGTAGAATACAAGGGGCTAGCATAACAGAAAGTGAACTTAAGTCATTATTGTTCATCAAGTAGACTGACTGTGAACATAAGAGAATCTTATTATTTGCCCAGCAAATCGAAGACGAACAAGGTGATCTCTAATTAATTAACAAGGTATCCTACAATTAATTTCAAATCTTAGACAATGTGAAATTATACTTCTCACTCATTTCAAAGGTAAAGATCTAATGAATTATAATTTAGGAACTTTGTTTCTGCTCCACTAAGACCTCCAAGATAAGTCATGTATCTCTTGTTAACTTTTCCTATGAAATGATATATGGCAGCATTTACTTAAAAGCCTCATTAATCTACCAAAACACTGTAAAATTTTTTTTAATGATTTTTCAGTTGATATTAGTTCTTAAATAAGTTGGTATATCCTGCTCTAAATTGGCCACTGCAACCTGACCACATATATTTTAGACTGAATTAAAAAACCATCTTTTAAAAATAAGGAATTAAACATCATCTTAATTAACTCAATAAAAGTAAAACTGTTTGTTGACAGTGGATTAATTCAATATAAGTGTGATTTTTAATAAAATATTTTTGGATTACAAAATAATACATATTCAATATAAACAACAACAACAAAACCTAAATGATAAAACTCCACAACTCCAAAATAATTATTAACATTTTCTATATCTTTCATGTATATATCACAGTTGTGACTTTACATTATATTTTTAATCTTCCTTTCAACTTACTTTATAGGAGGAGCAATGCCTCTTCCATTAAAATTATTTTGAACTAGTTGATATGAACTAAAATAAGGCAGACTTTAATTAAGAACAAAAGAGGTGAGAAGAAAACTAAACTTTAACCTTCCTTTTCTAATAAAATCCAGGCAGATTGTAAATGTTTGCTTGCATAGTCCTTAATCAAAAAAGTCACTGGGCTTATATTCTTTCTTTTTTTTTTTATGTAGTTCCATTAAACACACACAAAACACAAAGTCCTAAATCTAATGTACTTGTATAACATTATTTAGGCAAAGGGGTATGAGGACAGTAAAATGTATATATATATATATATATATATATATATATATATACTTAAAAAAATACTTGTTTAATCAACACAATCCAACAACTTTTTTTTTTTAACCATGGCCTTCCTTCTCTGCTATTTTAAACAATAATATAGTTTTTAAAGAATTAAGTTTATCTCCTAATTCTTTTTTATAATTTAGGTTGATTCTAGCTGAGGTTTCATCTCACCACATTAAAAGCTGCATGAAAATACTAGTCAGTAATGAAGTATTTGCGCACTACATCCCACAAAACCCTTACCTTGCCGGTTTTTTCGTATTCGTTTTGCTTGAAGAATTTGCTTCTTGCACTCTGCAATTTTTTCATGGGCTCCAGCAATGCTACATTCTATATAAAAAGGTTTTTTTTAAGATACTTATAACAACATGTATAATCTCCATTTTCAGTTTTAAAATGTGTTTTTAAATTTAGTTTCCCTGCTAATAAAACAGATGCTGGCATTTAAAACACAGCTGTAACTCAAAGTATATCATATTAGAATATATTCTTTCTATTAATGTTGTTATTATTTTACCACTAACCAAAGAAAAATGTTAGTAAATATTGTTTCCCTTAGCCCATAAAAATTAATATTACAGACAGAAACAATTACTTTGTTTCCTTACCTATCTCTTTGTAAATTTTTTCATAATTTTCCATTTCTCTGAGGTTCATGTCATATACCAGCAAAGTTTTGCCCATTGAAAACTCACATTGGGACAGTGTGCTCAGCATCCGTTGGTACTGGCTGTATCTAACATAGAAGATAGAGAAAGAGAATAAACACTTGTGGATTTCCAGCTGAATCATCATAATGCAGGCACACCTTTGCTAAGTAAATTATGCCAGGTTCTGAGAGAATATGCTTTATTTAAAATAATTTGAAATATCTGTCCCTTAGTTTTTCTTTTTCCAAATGTGATTTACTTGAATTTATAAACTGCATTAGTTACAAATGTAAAGCTGGAACTGTAGTTGTTAGCAATATAAGTTTAATTCAAACAACTATTTGTTGAATTTTGCTTAATATCCTTTTAAAAATGTTTTAAGATGGTTTTTATCGTCACAATTCTGTCTCAATTTTTTCACTCTATATAATTATTTATCTATGTGAAAAGCTAATTCAAATGATGAAAAAACTCTTTAAGTTAGAAATTTATCAAATATATAAAACCTTGCAGCAACTTGAATAGTACGTTTAAAAAGAAGAGAAAATTTCATTTAAGTATTTTGTCTTGCTAAACACTTATCTGCTTTTAAAAGGGACCAAAGTAATAAGTCTGAATTTAACCCTCATTTCTTATCACTGCACCTTCTGCACATTTTAATAAACATAAAAGTAGCCTCTGAAAGGAAGGCCGGAAAAACCTACTCTGGACTCTGTTAATAAGTGAAAATATGAAAAACTGACAGCACTATATATATGGTCTAAAAAAAAAAATCACACCAGGACATTAGTATAGTAACGGCAGCAACGTGAAATACCCCTCTTCCTGAGATCCTGAGTGGCACCATTTAATGAAACTTTTCACCAGCAGATTAATTCTCCGATCATCTCCAGCACCATCTCCATCGATCAGGAGACGCTTCCGTATGACTTCGTCTAGAGGACAGAATAATGTGAATTAAAATGACTGTCTGGTTCCTGTTCACTTTCAGGGACAAATAAGCAACACCACTACATATTCATTTATCTAGAAGAAAACTACTGAAATGTAAATGTACTTGATGCCACTGAACTGTACATAAAATACTGTGCTTAAAAGAATTAAAATGGTCAATTTTATGTTAGGTAGGATTTAATGTAATTTCCATATATAATTTCCATGTATATATATGGAAAGTTATTAAGTGTCTCATGTCAGGCACTGTTTTAGGGGCTGGAGTTATAGCAGGGAAAAGCCTTGCCCTCATAGAACTGACATTTTATTGCCAGGCTGTAGAGTAAAAATAATTTTCAGGTACTACCAGAGAAATAAGTCAATAATTCTTGGAGAAACTTTTTAGGCCAAACCTGTTCAGACAGAAGAAAGCCTGAAGCATTCATGTTGTTGAGTACTGTAAGGTACTGGTAAAAGGAACAGAGAGAAAAGATTTAAAGACATAGTGGGAGACTAGAAAAAGAGAATGAGATGTATCAGAGAAAAAGGAATTTTTTTGGGGGTGTGATTTAGTAATTCAATCTGTAATGTTTCTTTCCTCCTGAGGACTTCTTCTTCTTCTTTTTTTTTTTTTAATGTCTGTCTCCCTTTTGCTCCAAGGAAAAGAAAAAGAGAAAAAGGAATAGAAAAGCAATGCAGATGACAATGCTGAGTAACAAGTAGGGCCCCAGTGGGCTTGCTTGGCAGCCCTGAGCTAGTGTTCTTCCTGGACAAGATAATGCTGGATCATAACAAGAGATGTGCAAGTTGAAACCACAATAAGATATCACTCCATCTTTCAGACTGCTAAAGACCAAAAGACCTGATAATAAGTGATGGTAAGTGTGTTGAGAAGTCACACTTACATACACTGATAGAATGTAAGTGGTGTGCCCTTTGCAAGGCGGCTGGACAATCAGATAATATTCCAAATGCATATACCTTTTTGACCCCTTTAGTCCAGTTCTAGGAAATCATCCTATAGATGCATGTGCGCCCATGCACAAAGATAAATGTAAAAGGATTGTTCTTAAGAGTGCTGCTTGTAGTGAGTGAAGTGAAGTTGCTCAGTCGTGTCCGACTTTGCGACCCCATGGACTGTAGCCCACCAGGCTCCTCCGTCCATGGGATTTCCCAGGCAAGAATACTGGAGTGGGTTGCCATTTCCTTCTCCAGGGGATCTTCCCAACCCAGGAAAATGGCAAACCTAAACATTCACCAGGAAGAGACTGGCTAAATATAAAAGAGTTGTTAAGTGTAATAATATGCAGGGACTTCCCCAGCGGTCCAGTGGTTAAGATTCCATGCTACCATTGCAGGGGGCATGGGTTTGGTTCCTGGTTGGAGAACTAAGATCCCACATGCCTCACAAGGGGGCCAATAAAGAAACAGACATACAAACATAAATTGATAATTGCTGAATCGTTTTTAAAAAGAGGTAGTAAGATTCAGCCAAAAAAATAGTGTGGATGTATATATTAATATCATAAAAATCTCCTTAGATGTGTTAAGTAAAATGAAAATAACACAGGTGCAGAGAAGCACATAGTTTGCTGCCATTTGTATAGAAAACAAGGAGGCCATCTGTGTATGTATGTGCCCATCACACGGGTGTTTATGTATTCAGCAAGTATCTTTGGAAGGATTCATAAGAAACTGGTAATAGTGGCTATTTCTGATAAGAGGTACTACAGAGGATGAGATTTAATTTTTATGATTTTATAGGATTGTCTTTTTTTTTTAAAAACCATATGCAGGCATTTAAAAAATAATTTCTAAAGTGTGAATAATTCCTAGAGAACCTGCATGATGAATCAACAGCAAAATCTTAAAACAATAGTTCCTGTGTGTAGGCAGAAGTATTTTTGAGTGCAGGTGCAGGGGAGATAAACTTTGGAAGGCAGATGGCTCCAGTTCTTTTTTTTTTTTCCCTAGTTTCAAAATCTATTCTGTGACAACATCAGATAAACATGTTTAGAATTGGGTTTTGTCCTCAGAGTCATGGCTGTCACAGACGGCTCAAGCTACGGATTCATCAAGTGTTTTAATTTTACACTGAAAGATATAAACTAATGGTTTCCTCTTTTAACCACCAATAATGTTATTTGAGGAGACTGAGGCAAAACACAGTCCTGGCAGAGATTAAAATTCAAAAAATGAAACTGATTTTTTTATGAAGTCACAATCATGTTTTAACTTTGTTAAAAGTGAACATTCAGGGGGTGAGCGGTCCAGTGGTCAATTGATGCTATTTAGTTTACTTTTGATCTTCCTACCTCTACTCTTTCAAGCCCCCAAGAGACCCCATCTTCCTCCCAGGTAACTAGGGACCCTCCTTTATAGAGGACAATGGATTTCAAATGTAAACGAATGTAGGCAACAGGGAGTAGGGAAATTGAGGATTGAGTACCTAAAGCGAGAGTTTATTACCAGATCTGGTTTTTCAAGGGATTTTTAAAGTTTGGTGACTAACTGAAGATGTTTCTAGAACAGTTAGTGATCTTTTCAGCTGTATACTTAAGATCTGTGCACTTGTTCACATATGTATGTAATATCCCAATTACAAAAATTTTTGAAAAATGTTTAAAGCATTATACAGGCCAAATAAACTTGGGGGAAAGGTTCATCAGGGCCCATCCTATGTCCTGTTCATTCTGTTTCCTCTCCAGTCTCTCAGACTGTGTCTTTACATTTCTGATGCTCAATAAATATTTTAAAATTGGATTTGTGGTGCCTGCCTGGGAACATCTGCCCTCCAAATAGCTTTGTCTCAGTAAAACACTAACAAGGACTAACATAGAACCATCTTATCTTAGGTCCATAGCAGAGATTTCTCTTCCTGGACAAAAGACATGAATATCTGGTCAATGAGCAGCAGTGTCCATAGGTGCCAGACTAACCTCTTGAGGACATGAAGTAAAGGCATGAGTTCCTTCACTCTAGCTGGAGCCATAACACACAGTATGAATGCACACACACAGAGGCTGAGATTGTTAAGTGATACCGACACACAGCAGGAGCTTAAGAGGAGAGCTTCCTTTAGCTTGGGGGGAACAGGGAAAGAGGATTTTAAGCTGCTTTTTTCCCCCTTTTTTATTGGCCCTCCCCCTTGACTTGTGGGATCTTAGTTCCCTGACCAGGGACTGAACCCATTCCCTGGAAGCATGGAGTCTTAACCACTAGACCACCAGGGAAGTCCCTAAAGCTGCTCTTCTGATATTAGACCAACATTGGTCAAAAAAAGAAAGAGCTAAAAGGCATTCTAACAGTATCTATGGAAATGTCAGTATCTATGGTCAAAATTCTTTGACCCCCAAAATCCTAGATATACTTGCCCATATGCAATATGACATGCTTATCGGCAGCAGATTAAGATATATAAATTTTGGTATAAGAATATGATAAAATAATACAAAGTTATAAAAAACAAAGAATGAGGAAAACTGTGTATATGGAAAGGAAGTCCACTTAATACAACTTGTTAAAAGAGCAAGGTAAAGAATCCTATTTATGGCATGTTTCTTTTCAGATAAAAGTAGGGAAATAAGTATATTCATATGTGTTGATGTTCACATAGATATACCGGAATGATATACAAGAAACTACTATAAGGAGTTACCAAAGAATCGAGCAGGTTAAGCTGGGTAGCTGGAGGACAGGCTGGAAGATGTCTTATGTTACTTGATTTTTGAACCATATGTCTTATATTTTTGAAAATGTCTTATATTACTTCATTTTTGAACCATATAGTAGTCAAAATGTGTTAGTTGATGTTTGCAAAAAGAAAGCTATGACTGTGGTGATGGTATCATAGGTGTTTGTATCTGATAGCTCAGCTGGTAAAGAATCCACCTGCAATGCAGGTGACCCCAGTTCGATTCCTGGGTCAGGAAGATCCCCTGGAGGAGGGCATGGCAACCTACTCCAGTATTCTTGCCTGGAGAATCCCCATGGACAGAGGAGCCTGGCAGGCTACAGTCCATAGGGTTGCAAAGAGTCGGACACGACTGAGTGGCTAAGCATAGCACACAACTGCATCCAATTATACACAACACATGTAGTTCTTAGTGTATCAATTATACTTCAACAAAAGTGGAAGGAAGGAAAAGAAAGCAAGCAACCTAAAATCGCGTCTCTCCCCACCTCACCTGCAACAGGCAGGGAGAAAGCTGTGAGCTAAGGCAGAGGTGGGGATTGCAAGGCTGGGTCTGGGATGTGAGCACTCTTCCTAGGACACTAGGAAGTCTGGGGGCCTGGAGACCGATGTCAAGACCCAAGCACATAGAGGCAGTCAGAGGTCAGATTGTGGAAGTCCACAGTAGTGAATGCCACACTGGTAAACTCAGATCCTGTTGGCAGGCAACAAGTTGGAGTTGCTGGAGATTTGTGATGGGACTTTCTAGGAGGATCAAGTGTACAAAATGGGGTGCAACTGTGAGGCTCTCACAGGCTGGGAGGCTAGTTAGGAGGCTCCCAAAGCATATGCCCACCGAAGGAGCTAAAAGGGTGTGAATTAAAGCAGAGATCAGAGTCACAGGTCCTGGAAGGCAGACAAGGGCTCAACAGAGACTTGGTTAGTTTTAGGAAAAGGCAGGAGCCAAGACCAACTGGCGGGGACGAGCAGGGCAGGCTGATCCGTTCTGTAGCGCAGGGGACATGCTGTCCAGCCCTCAAGGTCTTTCTCCTGCTTGAGCCTGATCCCTCTTTCGTCTGCGGAGCATTTCTTCACAGCCAGACCCCAAGTCAAAAACTGGGGCCAGTGTTCTGGTTAGTCCGCAGTGTTTACTTTGTGTGCGTGACCAACTTTTAGCTTCATCTGTAAAAATGGGAATAAAACAATCCACTTCATAGGACTGCTGTGAAACCTTACGGAAATAAAAGTATACAAGTGCCTGTTCACTATAGGAAAACAAAAAAGAAAAAAGCAAAATTATTCTTATCTTCATGTTAAATTTAATTCCCA